TCAATTTTACTTTTCTCCATTTATTCTTTTTAATTGTGTGACAATTTTAAGAAATATGTTTGACTCTTAATTTGCCCTTTATTTATTATTTATTTTGTATAGGAAGAGTCCTTCAATCTGTTAAGTGTGTTCTTTAAGTTAACAGGAAAATTAAGACGCGCTAACTATTGCTTAAGCGGTCACGGTGCTGACCTCGAGAAGGTCAAAACCATTGGTTTGGCCGAAGGAGACCGCTACCGCGTTGACCTTTCGCATCAATAGCCTTGTAATGTTGCAACGTGTCGCCTTCACTCGCCTCATGGCGAATAGAAGCGCGAATCGGGAGAGAGAAGAGATCCGCGAAGATCCGCGAACTTTGCACTCTTTCTCTTGCCTACGGGCGCGAGTCGACGAGTCGGAGCGGCGTGTCGGTCCAGCGAGTCGCGCGCGAACAAGCGGCCCCATAGAATTGGCCTGACCCATAAATCAGTCTGAAATAATGCTGCCCCCGCATGGAACGTGTGCGCGAGCGCGTTTGAACGAGCGAGCGATAAAATAAATCTTCAATACTGGTGGATACTAATGGATACCTTGTATGTAACGGCGGTGGTCTTGTTTTCTGTTCTGTTGTAGATGTGGGTGGCGGTGAACGGGAGCTCTGAACCTCCTGCACCTTGACACATGCACAACACACACACACACACACACACACACACACACGCACACACACGCACACGCACACGCACACGCACGCACACGCACGCATACAAAATGGACACACCATTAATAATACAATACTGCAACAATAACACCAGACAACAGAGTATGACAATAATTGCAACACCACAAACTACAACCATGCACTTTTTTATTTGATTATCCGCACTTTTTCCCGATCGTGGCGAAAGCACGATCAACAACTATGTCACTTACCGCCACCACAGAAAAAAATCCCAGCATGTGTATACTACTTTTTCTTCTTCTCTTCCATCTTCCTCTACTTCTTCTCCTCTGTCTGCCTCTTTCGCTATTTCGTCTTCTCGCTGTGTCTGCGACTTTTACTACCCTCACTGCGACTTCTTCATCGTCGGCATATTTCTTGTACTAACACAGCGCGCACGGGTCCCACGCTTTAACGAGGCGGCAGAAATGATTGATAGATAGAAAAGGAAATTTAAAGGATGTGAAGGAAGCGAAGGGTTTTCCCTGGAAATATACTTTCCTCATCTTCCGATTTCAACCATCTTTGTTCCAGGAGCATACACTCTGTTCCCTACAAGGGCTCCAACGGCTACTCAAATGGCTATTCGAATGGCTACTCTAGGTATTAGAAGCCATCCGGCCAACTACTATCCTAAACTCCCGTAGACACGCGTTTCTCTTTTTCTATTGAATGTTCTTGCTACCAATCACAGTTCTTCCTGATGTCCCTCCTCTATTAGAGCAATCCTTCGCGCCAAACCGACGACATGTCAAACTTGCAAGTGATGTCATGTTCGTATAGTACGGCAAGGGAATCGCGATACTCGGTCGATTTTTGTCATCACCTTCGTCTATCACCCTCGCATCTAGTTCGTCCTGCTTTTTTGAATTTTTTTCGCTTCTGTTCACCCTCCTGTATTCCGAGCCTACACCCAGACGTCAGCCACAGAGGAATCTTCGATTCAACCTGACACGAAGCACCATTGCAGAACCGAGAACGATGGAAGCTATTTGGGATACAGCGACACGGCAGACGATTGTAATTTCATCGAACTTCCTTTGTAATTCGACTCATTCGAACGGGTAATAATATTCTTGCTAGATACATGACAAGCGATTAACGATATTTGAAATGTTTATGGAATTCGCTGTTTAAGATATTATTATATTACGGATACATGGTATCAGATATGCATAATTCGAGAACTCCCGCAGCTCTGAATATAGTCAGCGGTCCGTATATTGAGATACACGAATATGAAAGAAGATAGATGCGACTATGGAATATAACAAATTTATATTATTTTATTTGTCAGTTTTAGAAAAATTATCTAGAATCTTTTTTTCTCGTCGTGCTCTGCTTTAAATATTTATCGTCTTCAATTAGACACGTTTCAACTATCTCGATAAGAATGTTTCCACGAGCGTTTCCACGAGTGTTGTACGATAAAATTCCCGACTGAACAGAGTTAGGGCTTCTTGTTATGCGCAACATCAATGTTTCGATTCGTTGGCGGACAAATGACGAAGAATAAGAAGAGTAAGAAGAAGAGCAAACGATGTTCGCATATTAAATCGGTCGTGCAGTTATGAAGAAGCGAATCGGCAGTTCATCCAGGAATCGAAACGAGCGATCTACATTCTTCCGCATTTCCGCATAATGAAAGCATCACAACGCTGGGTTCCACTCAGGGCTCCTCGGGCTAACGTCCTAAATTGGACTACGTAATAACCCACTAGCTCTATAAGAGTGCTGGTCGGAGGATACACTGTTCGCTTCTTCGCGTGCTACCGTGGACCACGCCCAGGCCCGAAGCGACGTCTTCCTGACCTACCACCTGGCAATCAAACCGCGAAGCTACCCGGCTTCCCCTTCAGAAAATCCATATAATTTCGCGACGGCGATACGACAGATCACATCGCTGACACAAAATCATATCTCGCGACCGTGTACGATTGTTGCATATGAAGACACGATCGGACAACCTTGGGGCCACGTGGGGCTATAAGGTGGGTTCGCGGTGATATCGCTGATGCAAATACCAGTCAGCTGAGATCGGTTTCCAGCGAGTGAATTCTTGGCGAGATGTCTCTTCGATTCCGGCTGAGACGCGACTTATTGAAGTAGAAGAGGATCAACCGTTATTATTTCTGAGCGTCGATCGTATCTTTTCTTTTTTTCCTTTTTTCT